ATATATATTATTTTAGTTATATATTATATGATAATTTTTAACGATATTTATAAATGTAAATTATTCTAACAAATATTTTAACAATATTTCCTTTTTAAAAAAATAAGCTAATGAAGACATAAATCCTAAACGCTAAAAAATTAGATACTGCAATGTCTTATGTTAATTTTCTTTTTTTAAAATATAAAAAAGCTTAATTTCACAATATAAAAATAAAAAGAAAAATTCATAGTAAAAAAAATAAAATAACTGTTGAGTCATAAAAGGAGGGATAGATTATGATATCAATTTTATCTTTCACCTTTTTCTTTTCTTGACGTGTTATAAAAAAAATTATCACTTAAAAGTTTTCAAGCATTTTTTTTGTTATATAAAGGAACAAATTCAACTACATATAATAAAATAAAGCAAGACAATTAAAAAAACAAACAGAAAAATAGAGCAAGTTAATGACACTATCATTTACATATCAGAGTTTCACAAAATAGTGGAATGAGATGAGAACAGTACTACAATATTATATATGAGCAATGAACAATAGTGTAGTATTATTAGTAGAGAAAAAATGGAGAAGACAGGAGCATAAAAAAAAAAGATGAAAAACTCACTTAAAAATTCTTGAAACACTTGAAAAATCACTTCAAACAATCCTTCAAAATCCGATGGGTTTGGATGAGATTGTTTTATGAATCTGGTATTTATAGATAACACTAGAAAGTCCTTCAAAATCCCTCTCACACAACAATCCTTTAAAATCGTTATATTTTTGAATACCAATAGATTGTTTTTAAGTTGTAAAAAATCTCAAATGAATACTAGTAGATTTTAATGGACTCTTTAAAAAATCTTGAAAATCCATATTGAATACCACTGAATTGTTTTTAAGTGACATAAAATCCTTATTGAATATCAATGGATTTTTTTACTAAAAAAAAGTGTTTTAAAATCTTACGAAATCCTAAACCAATACACCCCCTTAATTAATGAGATTTTTTTTAATATTTTATTTTTAAGAAAGTATTAAGAGAAAAATAATCTTGATAGTAACATAAAAAGATTACAAGGTGATTTTGTGGTATGTGTGTTTGTCCAAGAATATGGTAGTTATTAAAGTGAAGTAGAGAGTGGGGGATGAGTGAAGAAGGAAGGATGAGAGGAAGTGAAGTTTGAAGAAGAGAAGGGAAAATGACGATCGACGACGATAGCTCCATTTATGTGGGAGGTCTCCCCTACGACGCCACCGAAGAAACCATTCGCACTGTCTTTAATTTGTATGGTGCCATCCTCGATGTTAAGGTCCACTTTCCTAAATCCAAACCCTATATCTTTTACCAACTAACTCTTTCCTCTTTCCTCTTTCCTTACCTTATTTATTTAATTCCCCATTCAGATTATCAACGACCAACGCACTAGGGGCAAGTGCTATTGCTTTGTTACTTTCACAAACCCTAGGTCAGCAATCGATGCCATCAACGACATGAACGGCAGAGTATGTCATTCTTTTTAATTTCTCCTCTTTTTCGTCTTATTTTTATCAGTTTTATGGTTTGACACTCTGTTCCCAATCAGACCATTGATGGGCGTGTGGTTAAGGTTAATGGGGTGAGGGCTCGTGGGGGCAGGTCAAATTTTGGCAGAGAGCGTTATCATTATCATAATGATGAGAGAAGTGGAGATTGGGACCGCGGAAGAGATCGAGATTATGATCATGATAATAATGATAGGGATGGGTATAGGAATCGGGGCAGTGATTGGACTCGAGACCGTGATAGGTCTCGAGACCGGGATCAGGACAGGGATAGGAGATTTGAGCATATGCATGATTATGATCAACCTAGAGAACCTATTTTAGATAATGATTGGAGTCGAGAGGATGATAGAGTTGAACATGAACACGAACACAGCCGGGGGCGTGATGATGATGTGGATAGAGACCACAATTTAGATATGGATACAGGCCGAAAAATGGATAGGACCAGTGATCTTGATAGAAGTTTCGATGAGGATACAAAAGATCAGTCGAGGAGAATGAATGAGTAAGATTTCCATATGTTTTTCCTTCACATCTGTTAATTTCCGACTGTTCATCTTTTGTTGACTTATGTTGCATGCATCTTCTGGGCTTATTAGTTTTCTTCCTGCAGTTTGAATGCTACAAATGAAAATAGTATGGATCTTTCATCTGATTCAGCTGGGACTCCCAATGATCAGGTAATGGGAATGTGTGTATGAATTTCTTGTTCAGATAGCACAATGGCATAAAACAAATTGCATATGACTGTGGTACTCTATTTTTTATTTTTTGTGTGGACTTCAGGTAGAAGCTCAATTAGAGAGGTCAACCCAACAGCTTGATCAACTGAAAAAGGAGGTTTGTATTCTCTTCAGAGAAAACATGAATGAATGATGAAAAATGCTTAAATGATCAAGTCTACACTATTATACAGCTTTATGATAGAGTGACAAATGTTTTGTTCTGAACAATTGCATTTTATGAAGGTGCAAACAAATGTATACAAAAACTTCCCAGAATTCCAATGTTTACTAAATGCCGAGTTAGGATATCACTTACTTTAAATTCTTCCAAATCCAACTAATAAGTCCTCCAGCCCTTTATATATTATTTTTACCTCGCTATGTTGTTGATGCTGGAAAGTGACATTTCTTGCCTTATCAGGTTTCTCAGATGGAAGAGGGATTGGAGAAGAAAAGACTCCATGTTAAAGAATTACAAAAGCAATCTAAGGTACCTTCTCTCATTTTCCATGCATCACGTTTGGAGCTTGTTTACTATACTTTATTGCTTGTCCTTATATTGAACACAGAATCTGTATTATGTTCTGAACCGGAAGATTTTTAATGCAGAAACTGGAGGATGCACTGATCAATGCAAAGAAAAACTCTTCGTATCGTCAGATGCAGTTGATAAAGGTAATATCTAGTTGTCATACTCATACATTAGATACTTGCAGTCTCTACTAATATCAAATTCACAAATTTGATTGCTAACATTGGGTTTGGGCAATTGATCTTCAGCTGCATAAATGTTTTCGGCAAGTGAAAGATTACACAGAGCGACTTAAAACTAGTGAAAAAGAACTTCAGGTTTGTCTCTTAACACTACATGATTCTGATTTATATACGAATCTGCAATGTCCTCTGTTTTATTAAAAATGATTGCATTGTTTATTGTGCATTTTGGGTCTTGGCTACGGTTTTTTCAATTTCACATGATCTTTTGCATTCTGTGTGATGAATTTTATGTAGACTTATTTTACAAATGCTCCTTTTATAATTTTGTTTCTTCAAATTGTTGTGCTTCCTCGAATTGTCTGTTAACATAGAAGCAATATATAGTGGAATTGTATAAAAGATATATCTTAAGATTTTTTCTGTCACTTCGTTTTGTTTTTGCCTCTTTTTTTTTTTGTTTTTTGTTTTTATCTTTTCCATGGAGATATCTTTAAAATTAAGTATTGTGTTGCTCTTTTGGGTGTATTTGTTTTTAAATTGTTACATTGGGGCAAAAGACATGCACAGTTTATTTTCAGATAAGAAATTTTAGTAATGATAGTTAGAGAAGTACAAATGTACAGGATAAGATATCATACAAAGGATGGGGAAGAACCGAAGAACAATAAACACATCAACTAAAACTATTGTCAATTTGTTACCATTAATGAAGCATCATAATCTGACATAAAGTGAATGGTGTAAAATATGTTTTGTTACACTTAATAGAGCTAAATTTGATTTAGACCTCCATTTTTTTTAAGTTTTGGTTCTCATTAATTTAAAATTTTTTAAAACTGGTCCCTTTCACTACTTGGTGATGATATGACATGCATCTATACATGCCACCTTGATAGGTCTGTTAGCTGATGGCCTTAGTTAGTAAGGGGACAGTTAGTGGTTACTCAGTTAGTGAGTCAAGTGGCTGTTGATGTACATAAATAGGAAGAGGGGTTCAGTTGGAAATCATGGTTGCACCTAAAAGAAGTGTACATAGTACATTGTACATAGGAGTGAGAGGAAAGAAAGGTCCAAGTTGAAATTACTCAAAAGGAACCCTTTTTTGGGCTTGATGGGCCAAGCCCAAAGAGTAAGGAGAAGAATTGGAATTCTGGAAGAGGAAGTTATTTCTTTTCCAAAATATTAGTCCAACATAGTACATTGTACATAGGAGTGAGAAGAAAGAAAGGTCCAAGTTGAAATTACTGAAAAGGAACTCTTTTTTGGGCTTGATGGGCCAAGCCCGAAGAGTAAGGAGAAGAATTGGAATTCTGGAAGAGGAAGTTATTTCTTTTCCAAAATATTGAGTCCAGCTCAAATGCTCAATACAATAAAGTGGGAGGAGGAAAAGCAAACTGGAAATCACAATTATTGAATTGTTCCTGTAGGAGTACTAATGTAGTACTCTATCTCTTTAAATTTGTTATTATTAAATTTGTTATCTTTTCAATTGTTATTTTCATAAGTCTGTTATTATATATAGTTTGTTATTATACTGATACTAATAATTATCGGTTTGTTATTATACTGATATTTATTTAGCTTATCAGTTTATATTTCAACATATATATAAGTGCAACACCCATGTACTGTGTCCATGATCTAAAATACAATAGCTTCCTCTCATTATCTTATATGGTATCAGATTAAATCTTATTGCTTAACAAGCTATTTCTTTCGATCCAATGGCCTCTCAATTGTCCACATCTACCGCCCATTATGACCACCACCCAATTACCTATCAAACTAAACTCCTCCAATTATCCCGCGTGGTATCGGCAGATTCATTCTCTGCTTGAAGGCTACGTCACGGGTGACACATCGTGTCCCCCAAAAACCATTCCCACCGACTCTGGTGTGTCTTCCAATCCATCTTATAATTTTTGGATTCGTCAAGACAAATACCTCTACATCGCCTTACTTGGCTCATGCAATACTGAGGCCTATGCTATCATGGCCATTGTAGAAACATCACGCGCTGCCTGGTTGTCCTTAGAACGTGCCTTTGCCGCTCGTTCTCGCTCTCGTGTCATGTCCCTTAAAGAGCGTCTGAATTCTAGCACCAAGGGATCTTCCACTGTTATTGCATATTTGCAATCAATTCGCTCGATTGCTGAGGATTTATCCTTGATAATCCACGCTGTTGATGACATTGATCTGGTCATTCATACTCTTAATGGCCTTGATCCTTCTTTTCGCGAGTTCACAACCTCCATACGCACTCGTGACACACCAATCTCATTTGACGAGTTGTCTATCAAGCTGCTAGATTATGAAATGTATCTTAAACGTGATGAACATTTCAACCACCAACCTTCCATCACTGCCAATTATGTTAATCAAGGACGCTTCCATCGTTCCAACAAGGGGCGCAACAATAATCACTCCTCTAGTTCATCCACTTCCCTCGGTAAACGTAACAATTCTTCCTCCAACTCCGACATTGTTTGCCAACTTTGCTCCAAGAAGGGACACGGCGCCCAAACTTGCTACAAATTCACTAAGAACAACAAGCAATCTTCCAACCCTGTTGCTTATGCAACCCACGCCACTACTCCACCACCTGAATGGTTGTTTAACTCTGGTGCTTCACATCACATTACCAATGACCTCAACAATCTCTCCTTAACGTCTACCTACACTGGTAATGACAAACTCTATGTGGCAAATGGTATGTCCCTTCCCATCACACATGTTGGTTCCACTACCCTTCACCCACCCACACGTCCTTTATCATTCACCAATGTTTTGTATGCCCCTGGAATCACTCAAAATCTTATATCTGTGTCTCAATTATGCAATACTAACGATGTCTCCATTGAATTTTTTCCTTCATTTTTTGAGGTAAAGGATCTGAGCATGGGGGCAAATCTCCTTCGAGGTCCGAAGGATGATCATGTTTACAAACTCCCACTCACCTCAAAAACTCATCATGTCTACTCAACCACCTCCACCTCATCTTCTCAACGTTGGCATACCCGACTTGGTCATCCATCCTCTCGCGTCTTACATCATGTTCTTTAATCAAATAGAATTCTTTTTCATGGCTCAATCAATAAATGTACTCATTGCATGACAAATAAGAGTCATAAGTTACCTTTTAATAAGTCATCCTTATCTAGTTCTCATCCCCTAGAGATTGTATATTCTGATGTCCGGGGACCATCCCCTTTCACTTCAATAAATGATTTTCGGTATTATGTGATTTTTATTGACCATTTTTCCAAGTATCTGTGGTTGTTCCCTATGAAATTGAAATCTGATGTGGCAATCATTTTTCCTATCTTCAAAAATATTGCTGAGAATCAATTCACCTGCAAAATCAAGAATTTTTATTCCGATAATGGTGGAGAATTCATTAAACTTAAATCCTTTTTTCAAAATCATGGCATAACTCATTTAACGACCCCACCACATACACCAGAGCATAATGGTCTTTGTGAAAGAAAACACCGTCATTTGCTTGAAACTACAAGATGTCTCCTTCATCACGCTTCTCTTCCTCCAAGCTTTTGGTCATTTGCCGTCCAAACAGCTGCTTACCTCATTAATCGTCTCCCCACCCCAACCTTGAACATGAATTCACCATATTGCACCTTGTTCCACAATCAGCCCAATTACACAAAACTCAAGTCCTTCGGGTGTCTATGCTTCCCATGGCTAAAACCATACACTACTAATAAGCTTCAACCCCACTCTGAACCTTGTGTCTTTCTTGGGTATAGTCAAACCCAAAGTGCATATATTTGTTATAGTCTCAAGCAACATAAGTTCTACCATTCCCGTCATGTACAGTTCTCGGAAGATGTCTATCCGTTCTCTCAAACTAATTCAACCTCTCAATCACATGAATCTCATACTCTTAACTCCCTTGACAACAATTCCTTACATTCACTACCTCTCACTATTCTCCATAAACCACAACCACATTCAACTCTTATCCACAACCCTCAGCCCACCTCCTCTACTGCAACCGAATCATCAATCCCACATCCTTCTCCCAACCTCATCACCCTACCACATTCAGATCCTCAACAACCACCCCTTACTCAACTTCCCTTGCAACCACTTACCTCTTCCACTCACCCTATGCAAACGCGCTCAAAGAGTGGAATCTACAAACCAAAAAAGGCCAATCTTGTCACCAAATATCCTCTACCCAACTCCACAGAACCAACTTGTGTATCTCAGGCACTTAAGTCACCAGAGTGGCAACAAGCAATGAGTGATGAATTCATGGCTCTCATGCAAAATGGAACCTGGACCTTAGTCCCCCCTCGTCCTCACTACAACGTGATTGGAAATAAGTGGGTGTTTAGACTCAAGCGGAATCTCGATGGCTCCATATCACGATATAAGGCAAGGTTAGTGGCAAAGTGATTTCACCAACGACCAGGAATTGATTTCAAAAACACATTCAGTCCCGTGATCAAGCCCCAAACAATCAAGTTGGTGTTATGCCTTGCTATATCTCGTGGTTGGTCCCTTACCCAGATGGATGTTAATAATGCCTTTTTGCATGGCACTATACAGGAGGATATATACATGTCTCAACCTGTCGGTTTCACTCACTCCTCCTTTCCCAATTATGTTTGCAAGCTTCACAAGGCATTATATGGGCTTAAACAAGCCCCTCGAGCATGGTTTCAATCCTTACGTGAGTTTTTGCAACACCAAGGTTTCACCAATGCCAAATCAGACATGTCCCTTTTTATCTATAACAAGGGATCCATTATTGCTTATTTTTTAGTTTATGTTGATGATTTATTACTCACAGGAAACAATACAAGCTTTTCTTTGTCAGTTCAAGACATCTCTTGCAGCCAAATTTTCCCTCAAAGACATGGGGCAACCGAGTCACTTTCTTGGTGTTGAGATCATTCCTACCTCCTCTGGTCTCTTCCTAACCCAACACCATTACATAAGAGACCTTTTACAACGAGCAAACATGACTGATTCAAAGCCTGTGTCAACACCCATGGCCAATCCTTCTCTTCAAACCCTGTTCCGAACTCCACAACTTGTGATAGCAGTCTCTTTCGCAGTATCATTGGCTCCCTACATTATCTATCTATTACATGTCCAGATGTAGCATTTCCCGTCAACAAACTTGCTCAACACATGCAGTCTCCTACTGCCCTTCACATGCAAGCACTAAAATAGATTCTACGTTATCTCAAATCCACCATCTCTCATGGGTTGCATCTTAGCAAGTCATCAAATCAACACATTTATGCATTTTGTGATGCAGATTGGGGTGGAAACACAACGGATAGAAGATCCACTGGAGCTTTCTTGATCTATTTTGGCCCAATGCCATATCCTAGTCATGCAAAAAGCAACCCACAGTTGCCCGATCTTCTACTTAGGCAGAGTACTGCACAATTTCCCCCACCACTGTTGAAGTTCTCTGGCTGCAACAATTACTCCATGAACTTGGAGTTTCTATCTCCACACCAACAATCTTTTATGATAATATTGGAGCTACCTACCTATGTGCTAATCTTGTATTTCATTCACGGATGAAACATGTCGCCATAGATTTTCACTTTGTTCATGAATTAGTTGCAGAAAAGAAGCTCAATGTTTCACATGTTCCTACTAGTCACCAGCTTGCCGACTTACTCACCAAGCCACTTTCATCTTCACAACATCACTTTCTCAAATCCAAGATCGGCGTTATTGAAGATACCTCGATCTTGCGGGGGCATGTAGGAGTACTAACGTAGTACTCTATCTCTTTAAATTTGTTATTATTAAATTTGTTATCTTTTCAATTGTTATTTTCATAAGTCTATTATTATATATAGTTTGTTATTATACTGATATTTATTTAGCTTATCAGTTTATATTCAACATATATATAAGTGCAGCACCCATGTACTGTGTCCATGATCCAAAATACAATAGCTTCCTCTCATTATCTTATAGTTCCCATGTCCTAATGTGCCAGGTCCAGTGAAATAAAGCAGAGGACCTTGTTAATCATCAGCTACCAGGCAGTGGTGCAGTTGGCTAAAGAGCCATGGGATCTTCAAAGTAAAACTAATGGCTTGGATGCTCTGTTTCATGGCCTAAAATACTGCCGGAACAGAGCAATAGAGAAGAATGGAAGCACTCACATATTTGTGTTTGACCCAGGAGGATTAAAAGTTAATTGGGCTGTAGTGGTTCTGTTGGCTTGGACATTCTGCTTTTAACAACTAGAACACATATGGGACTTTATATCAGAAGCCAGCTGTTCACCTTGGGGACAATATGGTGAATCATTTTTTTTTGGGGTAGTATTGATAAGTCTTTTAGTTGAGGGCCTTAGTTAAGTCTTAGTGAGTAACGTGGGCTGACAACATATATAAATATGAAGAGTGGTTGAGAAGGTAGTTATTCATTGTGTGGGAGTTTGTAAAGGAATTTACAGAGACTTGTACCTCCTGAAATCCAGTTTTTGCTTTGTTCATGATTCTGAAACCACGTTGAGCCAGGATTGGGAATTGGGGTTCTTAATAAAACTCATTCCTTCATTTATATCTGATCCAGTTTCTCTCGAACCTCATAATGGTTGTTTATGTGGCACGTGTAGATGCATGTTATCACTAAATAGTAACACCATTTTTTTTAAACAAATGTTAGGTCCAAAACTAACAATTTTTTTGAGAACTAAAATCAAATTTTACCATATTTACAAGGATTAAAAATGTATTCAAGTCCATAAGAACTATTTTATGCCATAAATTGCAGTGGCACAAAAAAAATGGGGGAAATTAAAATACAACTGTGAGGTTATAAAGAAAATGCAATAGCAACTAGTAGGAAATTAAATCCTAATCATCAAGGAAATGGCTGAAATAGGTCTCTGTTTAGATTTGAAAGATCTATGATGTTTGTTGTTCATTATTGATTTGAAATTACGAATATGATGTTTTTGGTGTTGTTTAGTGAGTTCATTTGGTCCTATAATTCCAGTTGCTTTCTTGCCTTCTCAATGTCCACGTGTACCTATTATGTGATGAAATCGTGCTAGTAGCTTGATTAAGTATTTTTTGGGGGCTTGCAGGTTCTGATTGACACAGTAATGTCAGAGGTTGATGCTGATGGTGCTGGATTTAAGGATGGACAACTAACAAATGGAAGTCTTGATGGTAGATAGTAATATATGTTTAGGAAGTCCTGATTATGTCATTGATGCTTACAATGGGTTTAGCACATAATACCTTGTCTGATACGGAGTAGAAAAAAAGGTTGGATGAATTAATGATTTTCTTTTCTTTTTCCTTTCCTATTCCACTCTGGTCTTCTACTAAATAGCATCAATAGAGTTTTGTGAAATATTGTTAATTGTTACTGAACTAGGTCATTGTAACTTCATTTGTTATAAATTTTCACTAGAGAAAACAAGCTTCACGTCGATTGAATTGCATGACCCGAAGTTTCTTATCCAAAGCATTGGATCTTAGCATAAAAACCTGATTTGGTTGGTATAGCGCAGTTGCTTCTAGCCACATGTTTCTTACCATTTGTGGTTTGCTGCTTGGTCTGAGGGAATATGGGGGCTCTAATTGACTGGGTTGCCTGGCACATATAATAGACTGACATGCTTTTGGTGCAATGGTAATACTAAAGTTTGAACAAATGACATCCTGTAAATTAGTTTGTCACCAATATAGATTGTTATTCTAAGAAGTAACTGAAATTTGAATCCCGATTATGAAAAATTTATTGATTTTAGCTTATTATAGATCGGGCCAGTCTAGTTTGGTGCTTTACAATGGGACAGATATAAACCTCAAGAAATTGGTTTGAGTTGAATTTAATTAAACTCGTTATCCCAATTGATCAAATTGATTTGGGTTGGATTTGTGTAAATCTTTTATCGATTCCGAACTGAATTAACTTAACCAATAATATGTTGGTTTTGAGTTAGGTTATTGGGAATGAAAAATTAAAAATTATTCTAACAAAATACTAACATTCAAATTAATACCAAAAACACGTAAGTCCTGATTTTATATATATATATATATATATATATATATATATATACCATTT